CTCTGGCAGAGGGTTCGACGTCTCTCGCGGGTTCTCTGCGCGAGGCGTATCGCGCCGATTAAAGCTAGCGGACTGCTCGAGAGAACCGGGGAAAGAGGGAGGCGAGGAACACAAGCGCAGGAATGAAAATGGAAGTCTCCACCTACTCGAAGAGCGGCGCCCGCGTCTCACGGATCGCATCCATCATTCCGGTGGGGGCGTACTTGCCGGGTCTTTAATCTTTCTTCTCGGCGAAGATGGTGGTTCCTTCCCTTCTCTTCTTCTTCTTCTTCTTCTTCTTCGTCGTCGTGGACGTCGTCGTCGTCTTCTTCTTCTTCTTCTTCTTCGACACGACTTGGGGAGTCTTGCCCCTTTTTCCACGCTGGCGCGACTTCTCGCGCATCAAATTTAAACTTAACTAGCTTAGTCCGACTTTTCGCTCGGGTAACCGTTTCCATCAACCATCGCGCATCGGGGAGAAATGGAATCGAGAGAGACGCGAAGCCATGGCCGTGCTGCTCTCTCCACGTGCCGGCCTTTATCGGTTCGCGATTGGAATATGGAACGATGCAAATTATTTCGTGAACATACGCTTTTTTTTTCTTTTCTAAGCGATCGTTTCTATCGCGATCCGCGCATTTTAATTTCAGCGTTGCCGTGAGCAATTACGTGGGCCTCGTGGTGACAAAACGTCGGATATTAAAGTTCAACTCGCGAATCAATCAGACGATCTCGCGTCTCGATGGCGACGAATTTACGAGATCGGATGATTTTTCTCACGCGTGCACTCGCGATCGCGATTGTGTAACGAGTGGATTACGCCAACCTGGCGTAAGAATGTGTAATCGAGTCGTGCTCGGCTTAGTTCTTTTTACGATGCTTTTGTTGCTGTGTCGTTGTACGTAAAAAGAAAAGAAAAAAAAAATAAATAAATTGATTGCATCGTAGTTGATCGAAATATTCTCAAAAATCGTCGATCGTCGAAAAGAAAAGTGTCGCTCGCATCATTCGACGAATTGGACGAGGATAAAAGTATCCAAGCTTCAACTACTCGCGTCGGTTTATAGTTCTAACTTGTTCTCTCTGTCGCGGACCCAAGCCCGAAATATTTTCGATAAATCAGACCTTCGTCGATACGCATAGACACATAGACAATGTTTCTAACTGTGCATCTACGCGCACGTATCTTGGCGGGGCATCATCCCTGCTCGCACCATCGTTCACTGACCGTGCACTCCAGCTACCACGGCCAGTATAATATTGTAGCACTATACTTTGCAGCCATTGTGAAATAACTCGTAAAGCTGCAAATTGCCGGGTATTTCGCTGCCATATACGTGTGTACCGCGGCTCTTTACACCGCGTTCGCGCATCGTGTTGGTGCATACGTCGAGAGCGCACACACTCGCCGGACCTATTCTCGCTCGTACGTAAACGCGATCCCTCGTTAGTTGTACCGGTTCCAACAGCTTTCAGTTCTGTGTAATGCTGGGCCCACACTGGGCAGAACTGTTCGCTAATAGAAACTCCATCGCATCCGTACCGCTCGCGAATTTCTCGCGAACTGTTCGTCAACAGCAGTGTGGTCGCGGCATTACAAAGTAAGACCCTCAATGATTCCACATACATTTCACGAGAGTTCACGAGATTACTTGGCAAACACTAAGTTCGCTGTTGCAAATGAGCTCGCTGTAATATCTAATCGCCAAAGTTTGCTAAAATATCTACACTGTTGTTAGCGAACAGTTTGTGTAGTGTGAACGCGGCATTATAAAGTAAGATTCTCAGTGTTTCCACATATGTTTCAAATTTGCGAATAGATTCTTCAATACCGTTAGCACTGATCGCTGTTGCAAGTGAGCT